TCATCATGACACTCCTGTGCTGCTTTTGTAGTGCCTGACTAATAAGGATTCTGTGAACTCTTATGATTCTTGTTAATACAATACAAGAATCTGACTTTTTCTGTGGGACTCTTGTCCTAGCCTTGCTTCACCATGACTGATGAAATAGAATGTACCTGTAGCAAAATGGAATGAAACACCTAATGTTTTTAGCCAATCATTTTTGAGATCTTTTCAGTCAACTTCTAGAGCTGAATTTGATGCTCAACAGGTGCCTAATATAATTCAAAATTACTATATTGAAATACAAATCACCTTTTGTCTTATGAAAACCAAAATTCAAAGAGAACAAGCAACAGTTCTAAAGTCTGTGGTTCACACCTCTAAACTTTCTTTGGCATCTTGGAAGACTGTAAATCTTGCTTGTAGTGTTATCTTTTGTAGATTATATCTGTGGTGGTGGACTCTCTTCCCCTACATTAGCAATGTGAATGGTAACATGTGATTAACATGATAAACTTAATGGCTGCTTGGAGCTATATGACTCATATCTTAAAGCAACACTGAGGCTGCTAAACCACCTCTAGTAATCAGAATCAGTTTTCTTTACAGCTTTCTTCCAGAGTATCCTATTGTGCCAGAGAGACAAAGTACAGCATGGAACTGAGGCCATATATCTCAAGATGTTTTTTCCCTTTAAAAAAGTGAAAATAAAAATCATGCAGCTCAGATTATAAATGTTCCTCAGTTATGTATCTGCATAGAGTCCTCCTACTCAAGATAAGATGTCTGAGTGTTTCACATTGTTTGCAATTCTCTTCTGTGTATCAGCCAAACAGTGCCAACTAGACTAGATATTAGGAAAATTTTCTATACAGAGAGAGTGGTCAAGCATTGGAACAGGCTGCCCAGGGAGGTGGTGGAGTCACCACCACTGGAAGCGTTCAAAAAACGTATAGATGTGGCACTTCAGGACATGGTTTACTGGGCTTGGTGGTGTTGGGTTAATGGTTGGACTTGATCTTAAAGGTCTTTTCCAACCTTAATGATTCTGTGGTTCTGTGAACTAAACTACACAATATGTTTGTGAAGTCTGGCATTACTCTTCTGATATTCCTCTTCTGGTATTCCTATGTTCACTTTAGCCTTGCTTCACCTCCTAGTCAACTAAAATTGCTGTTGCCAAAAGCTAATGACTTTTCTCACTAAAACTCAGTTCTCTGCAATTCATCTTTGATCTCCATCCTCTAGCATAAAATCCTGCTTTCTTGAAATGTTAATCTTTCAATTTGTCTTTTTCTGGTTTTCATTCTACCTTTCTAACAACTTCTAAAGAGTTTTTCACATGTTTCTACTCCTTCCTTTTCTTCCTTTTTCTGTGAAGATGTTATAGGGCCCTGTCTTTCCCTTCCTTCTCTTTCTGTACCTTCTTTGTGGATGAATACATCTACAAACAGAAGTTCAGCTATCATCTTTATATTTAGAGTTCAGATATACATCTGACCTAAATGTCCCTTCTGTCAAAACTGACATCTTTTATTACTTCTATTCAATCCTGTGAATACCCAGCTGTTGATCTTAAGATAGTATGTCTGTCTTTCCTGTATATTTAACATTGAGGACTGTCCCCTACCTATTACTTTTTCCACTCCATAACACCTGTGGATTATATTCTTCTCTATCCATATATCCACCTACCTATAATTTATTACAGGTTCATTTTGCTTTTTGATGTGCTGCTGTGTATTTTATTTGGACTTGATAGTTGCAGCTTTGGCCTGTCTTTCTTCACTGAGATTGCTGTACAAAAAGTTATTGGATTGATTAGATGCTGGATGCCATTCTTCTGTTTGTATCTCAGTCTGTTCCTTTAAGTTGTAGATACAAGCTACTTGTTTTAACCTATCCCAACCCATTGATTATTTCTGATTTGCTGCTTTGAGATATCTATCCTTGCTTACATTCAGCCTGCGATACCGATCTTCATTGTTCATTTGTTACTTTTCAGACTAGCTCCTTCAGCTGTTTGTTTTATACAGTTTCTTATGGCTGAAGAGATTTCCTATAGGTATCTGCAGAACCCATCCTCTTTTAAAACCTTGTTCAGTACCTTTAAATCAACCTCTCCCCAAACCTTAGCAGTGTTTTGTGTTGAGGTGGATGCCCATTACAATGACTAATTTCAGTTCCTTTCTTTATGAATCCATACATTTCTTGTCTTGGACTGTAATGTCTCTTGATAGAAATAAATTTTATTCTGTCTTTACTGTGCAGCACATAGCACAATGAATTCCTTGTCCATGACCATAGATTTCAAGTGCTGTAGTAATATTTATCACCTTCCTACGCTAAATATCAGTCTTCATTATTACTTCATACAACCATCTTGAAATGTGTACAGGTTGCTTGTAAAATTCACAGTTGTAAACTGTTATGCATAATGTACTCATTTTAACAATCGACTCAGAAGAGATACCATACATATATTTTTTGAATAAGACAATAACAACATGATGTTTCTCCTCAACGTCAATGATTCTTCTGAGAAACCTCTTATGTAGCATGTGTGATGGTAGCATTAATTCCATAAAATGGTCCTAAGGGTCTTGTTACCATGCTGCCTCTGATAAGTTGTTAGATAGTTAGTCTAGAGTACAAATTTGTGATCTCTCATTTGAACTTGTCCCATAAAAGTATCCTTTTCCATGATATTTGAGAGGGGAATCAAAACACAGTAGTGATGATTAATTTGGTGGTTTGCCGAGTCCCATCAAGATGCATGTGTTGAATAAAGAAATTTAGAAAAATCTAGTAAGTGAAAGGAGAAACACTTCTCTCTCTCAAAAAACAAAAAAAAGGGGGGGGGGGGGGGAGTGGGGTGGGCGAGGTGTCATGCCCTTTCCTTCTTTAAGAGGAACTGATCTCACAACTTCTGCAGAATTATGTGGAGGAGTACAGATTGATAATATTTAGGCTTAGTGCACAACATCATGCATATGTATTTAGTGTCTAAAAATGTGGAAAGTGGATAAAGTAAACAGGTAGCTTTGAACTGGTGTTTAAAAAGAAAACAAATCTGTGGGCATTTGCAGTGTGCTGAAACAAATTCCTGGCAACAGTGAAAGACAAAGAAATATTTTTGTCTTTCAATCCCCATTAAATACTGGGAGAGATGCGGAAAGATCACCTAACTATAATGGTGTTTGTTAGGAGGCAAAGCTGTCGCTCTTTTATTTGTTGAGGAGAAAGAAGTCTAGGGAACTAGCATGTTGCATTTTTTCATTCCCTCTACCAGAAGAAGTTAAGAGTAATAATAAGAAACTCAATCTTCCTTTGAGAGACAAGAGTTTCAAGTTTGTTAGCTATTGTTTAAGCAGAGTGTCTTCTGGTGAATGGTATTTTGCGGAAGGAGTCTTTAATTCAGAAAGACCTATAGAACATCTATTGAGTTATGCCTCTTGTTGTCAGTTGTCCTT